TAGTTCACAAAAAGGGTTGCATTTGCCATCAATGTGCGAAGAAATGCACTGCTCTATGCTATGATAATTAACGAGAACTAATCCTTATAGCATTGTCCTTATATTGAGACTTAATACTCGGGCTGTAAAGTACAGTATTTAGATTTTATAATCTTAAATAAAAATGTTTTCTATTTTAATATTTGAGTCAACATTGAAATATAACATGATTAATCTATTTTTCCAAATGCTTACTGAAAGCAATAATTTATTATTTGGAAAAATTTATTGCCAATAAATCATTTTGTTTTATCCATTTCATGAGTACATTCCTATAATTGATACCAATTTACAATATTTGGGAATTGAAGTCAATCAGCAGTTTATGACTTTATAATTTTTTATCACAATTCAGATATGAATGTGATTTATAGGATTGTTTGGTCCCTCAACCACCCGCCCCCTCCGCTCTATGTGTAATGCTAATCNCTCTCTCTCTCCCGCACTGTTAGCTCGACTGTTGCACTCGTTTGCACTCTTTAAGGTGAAGGTCGACCACAACGAGCAGAAGGGATGGCCGGTTATAGAGAGGGGCCAAACAAAGAACTTTTCGCGTTAATCGTTAATCTAAGCTAAACGTCACTTCCAGAGCCCAACACTCGTCCGCGCTTTAGTGTCATTACTATTCATATTGTTTGGGCACTAAAACGGATGTTCAACAGCACCGACAGAGCACTGCTCTCGTCCTCTGTTGTTAACCATCAATGAGACAAAAACAATACAATAGAATAATATATAATATATTTAACAAAAAACATTCAAATTGATGGCATCTGTAGGCATATACTCAGCATTTCTAATATTAATATTTGAATAATTAAAACAAAAGCACACCAGAGTTATGGCAGCGGATCCACTCTCTCTCCGCTTCTCTCACAACTCCCCGTAATATATATTTTTATTTTTTATTCATTATTTTTTTTGTTTTTATGTTTTATGAAATTGTTTGTAAATTATTGTCAAATTAAATCTGAATTATAAGAATTGTTTTGCAATCATAGAATCACAAAGTTTTTAGTTTTATTTATTTTATTTTTGTGCAAAAAATCAATTTTAAAATTATGTGTCATTTAATTAACGCAAATATCGTTTAGATTAGTATATAATGTATTTGCAACACATTTTCGAGAGACGTTCACTCGTTTAATTTGATTACCAAATGCAACCAAACATTCACTTTATTTATGGCCACTTTTTGAAACAGTGGTCGCAAAACATGTCTCGAAAAGTGTCATTATATTGTTTACTTCACACCTTTTTCTCTAACTCTCTGTCCTTATAAACAATTAATATATATTTTTAGTTAATTTTTATCACAGATTCTGGTCATTTCGATCATTAGATTTAATGATTTAGTGATTCCAATAGTAATAAACGCTATTCTCATGAATGAAACATAATTTTAAAACTCATAAAAACTTAAAAAACAATATTATTTATGTGTTTATTATTAATATTTAACTTAAATGTTATCTTATCGTCAGATTTAATTTGATTAATGATTAGTTTGGATGCAAATCCAACTCATGTCCAAAATAATGATAAATGTTATACAAAAACACAAAGTGATATACAATTTGAGTTGAGATGCACTCGAAATGTGCGTTCAATTCAACCGAAATAACAAAACACTTTTTGTCAAACATTTGAATAGACAATGTTTTATATGATTTTGGTTTTGGTTGTAGTCTTTCGGTTCGATTGCAATCTATTTAACACTAAATCACGACTTATGACCCGACGGTCACAACCATTTCGAAACAACTAATGGTTTGTTGGGTCCACTCAACTGCCAGTCCAGACAACGAGCCGTCGACAACTGCCAGTCCGTGTGTCAGCCCTTAAATACCATTTAAAACTACATCCAAAGCCAATATCATATCAAAACGTTTATCTATTCATAAATGTTACGAAAAACAAATTATATAATAAACGTTACTTTTATTTATAATATTTAGTAACAATTTATAAATACATTCTAAGTATTAGTTGTAAAATAAGGTTTATTAGGAGTAATACATTCATTAGAGCGCATGTATTATATGTTTCGCCACAGTTTCTGATGAAACAAAAAATATTTAATAATTATAAAAAAAATGTTCAAACATTATAAAAATCGTGTTTTACTCTGTTATATATATTTATTATATATAATATCATTAATTTTCGTCTAAATATTTAATTATTTGCTGTCTTTTATAACAAAAAAAGATCAATTAATTCATTGATTAATTTAAAGAAATTTAAAAAATTAGTGTCGAAAATGACTAAATTAAATGATGAGTTGCTTTCGATGCCAATGAAAAATATAGCGATAATTAAATGTTTCTGTCGATGAAAATAATAGTCGAAAACGATTTGTCAGTTTAGATGTTTGGCCAAAATCTTCATCATTCCAAACATACGAAATCTCTTTCGACCTAATCATACAAAACACACACATTTCTAATTGTTATTGTAATTAAACACACTTTTTGTATACAAATTGTTAACTTATTTAATTCAATACAAAACAGTAATAATGATCATATCGTCAATTCAATTCGACCTCAATTTTTTCTAACATGAATTAAATTTGTTTAACAATTTGTTTAAATTAATTCAAAAAACATTAAGTGAATGAAAATGTTTTAAACACAAAAAAATCATAAAAATTGTTTTGAAAGAGTTTAGAGAGAGTGAAAAGCTATTTGAATTGTGAAGTGATTGTAAATTAATAGAAAAATTGGGCAAAAAATTGTAAAGTAATGAGTATTCGCACAAAAAAACAAAACTATTTTTAAATACATGAATTGCATTGAATTTATAAGCAAATGACAAATGAATGTCACATTTGAATATGAGTTTTCATTTGGTTTGAAATTGTAATCAAAGTCTGTTTAGTCTTAACCAATAAGTAAAACATGAAAACACAAACCAAACATTTGTCATAAGAATAATGATATGATATATACTGACCGAAGATTTTGAGTAACTGGTCGTCACATATAGTGAACTGTTTGTTCTTCGGATCCTTCGGATGTCATGGAAAAGAGAAGACATTTTTAATATACAAATAAAACAAAAATCAAATTCAGATGCAATGCAATCGCAGAGCACTTGAAGACGACGACTACTGAATGGACGCACAAACAAAGCAATCAATTGATTGTTTACCTGAAGATTATTCTCTTTGACATAAGACCAGATCCGTTTGACCACTTCGTGTCGGGCCATCTCAACAATCAATCAGTTATTAATTAATATAATATAATATAACAGTAAATATAAATCAAATAATTGTTTTGTAAATATGAGATCAGAAATAATTAATCCAATTGTAGATAATGTTCATAATTAAGAAATTGTTTGATTAAATAATTTATGCACACATTCAATGTGTTTGAAATTAAGAAAAAAATAATAAAATTAATTGAAATACCATAACGTCTACACTTATTCCCATCATTACCTCTACTTCTCTACACAATTAATACATCATATCATTAATTAAAGTAAGTTTCATATGAGAAATGATTATTCAATTATTGAAATTGAAATCATTGACAAAATGAAGTCTTATATATTTCCCAATATAAAAGTCAAACGTTAAATAATGATATATTTTTGATCATTGAATTCAATTAACATTATAAGTACTGAATAGAAACTTAAATCGCTACACATTTTCTATGATTGGGACCTAAATGTGCGGCCATTTCAACGCACTGTTAGTTAATCTACTATTGGTTCACAAAGGGTTGCAATAAAAGACAATTTATAATCAAACAAATCATTGAAATAAATATAAAAATTGTCTTAATTATGGTTTACCTCCGATTCTCCGAAAAAGTCGGCCAATTCTGTGGACAATACACACGGCTTTAGGTATCCATTCTTTCGCTGCTTTTTAGGCTTCTCTTCGTCCGAATCGTCGGAATTGTCTTTCTTTTTGGTTTTCTTAGTTTTCTTCGCCGAAGAGCTCTTTTTAGTGGTTCTGTTATTTCGCGTAACTCTTCGTTTAGAGTCCAGCTCTTCGTTGTGTAGCTTTCGGGCCAAACCCTCGTCAGTAATGTCTTCATCACTAGAGCTGTCGTCACTCTCTTTGTCTGATTCGACCGCTTCTTTGGCCTTTTCTGTCACCTCTTCTTTGATCTCCTTCTTCACGTCCTTCTTCTTCACGCCATTGTCTTTGTCTTTATTTGTTTGATTCAATTCATTGATCACATCACTAATGATTGAATTGATTTGTTTCTTCTGTGAGTCCAAGTTATCGACATTGAGTTTAGCCTTGAGTTCATTCCTCACGAGTTTGGCTGTCATCACATTAAGATCAGCCGAAACCAGGATTTCTGTCATTGAATCCAACAATTAATGATCATTAAAATGAAGACATGTATTGATTGCGTGAAACAAACCTCTGATTGATTTGATGAGCACTTCTTCGCTGATATCTGTTTCGGACATAATTAGTGATAATATTGACCACAATTTGCAAAACAATTGTTTGTATTAATTGTTGAATAAATAAATATATAATAATAACAATAAAAATAAATTATTATTTTATTTATAAATAATGTATAAAACAGTGAAAACATATGAAATAAATGCAAAACACGTGTAATTATGTGAACACTCGCTGGGAGTCTCTCTCTCTCTCTCTCTCTCTCTCTCTCCCCAACCATTGATCGCATGTTTTTGTCGTTAAATTCACTTCAATTACAATTGAATAGCAATTGATTTGCATTTCTAATGATTTGAAGACAATATGTGAGACATTGATAGCGAAGTATTCAATGGTTTATTGGTATGCAATGAGTGAGTGATTTGTATTAACATTTCGTACATAACTATCAAAATATAACCAAAACATTATTTAACACATGAAACACATGTTAAACTAAATATTGAATATTGCAATCAATAGTTGGCACAAATCTCATTGCCATTCATCTGATCAGACATTTGTTAGTAGTTATGGACTCTTATGGTTAGTTGATTGGTATTGATTGACAGGAGTTGTGATGTGTTGTCCAAACCATTGCTGGCCATTTGCGGCAAATGCCCGTAACATACAAATGAGCAGGGTGCTATAGTTTTTAGAATTTTGTTTCCTACATTTGTACCAATATTTAATATACTCACGAGTTTTTACATAATATCTATATTTGGTTTTACTTTTAATCATGTATTAAATTCACGCCTTTGTTACACAACCAGAGACTAAAAATTGAGTTATTGGAGGTATGGGTTGGTTATTAGTAATTATTAATAACTTATTACCAGTTAAGTGAATATATAATTAGCATAATTATATTTGTAATGCTTTGGAGTTTTGAAATTCATTTTGAGCAAGGTCACACGATTTTAATTGTCCGCTCGAATACATATAATTATTTGCAAAATACTAATGCAATTAATGATAAAATATGCGAATTTCTTAGAAATTGCTAATAAGCTTCAAATAGTAAAACATCAAAACTTAAACAATTTGTAAATTTCTATTCGTTTTATTAACATTTGAATCACTCATACAATATATGGGCGAAGGTTTATAATAATTAGTTTAAATGAGTTTTTGTTGATTCAATTGATTTAAAATATAAATTAACAAAAGCAGTCAACAAATACATAAAAGTCTTTGGAATTGTATTATTGTTTTCCTAAACATAATTTAATTGTTAATTCATTTGATGTTATTTTTTGCACATTTTATATTTGGAGTTAAAACAATGTATCACTTTTTGCAAACATTTTATTACATAAAAATTGCAATCATTTTAATGTGGAAACAATTCACTTAATGATAACATAATTGAAAAGAAAGTCTCAATTGGCCGTCAATTTTGCATTTAAATTGTCTTTATTTAAGAAATGCTTTGAAATAATATAATGAATAACATTATTGAGTGTCGTTTTGCTGGTCGTTATGGTCTTCGTCGACGTTTTGAAGCCAATTAAAGATCATTATATTTCGTTCATATTTTGAAAGTGGTTTTCCTTTATCTCTTTCGATGTCTTTGACGGTGAGAGTGAGAGATCCGTCCACTGATCGGAAGCACAGGTCCACCAAATCAAACGAATTGCAGACGGCTTTCAGGGATGAGCTTTGGTTCTGGATTTGTACGTTCGCTACGAGGCTATCATTATTAGTCGATTTACAGCCGCTTTTGTCCATTGAATCCAATAGCTTAGCACTTGAGGCCACCCCTTGTGGGCCCTCTTTATTATTCATTTGGCAACTGTTATACAGGCGGCCAATAGCTCGTAGTCGTCGTCTTAAATACATTTGTCTGACTTTCTTATTGACTGATTTAATGAATTCAACGCTTGAAATGGTTGGCGACTCTAACTGTTTGGCCGACTGGGCCTGAGGTGAGGGAAGTTGTGATGTGGAGAGGACTGGGTCTCCGAGATTAACCCATGTTGAACACGAACGGGACGTATAGTCAAGTCGTCTCAGGTTTGGCAGTTCCAGACGACTCACTCCTCCAAACAGCAACACTTCCGATGAGCTCTGTCTTAGAGCTGCCGTTTGTAGGGACAAGTCGTTGAGATTACATATGTCTGAAGTCGAGAAACTCTTCATTAAACCCAAAACAGCGGACGAGATTTCAAAACAGTTTTTGATTATTTCTGACTCCTCTTCAAACAGAATCTCATTGAATTTGATTCCCGAAGAACTCCTCTTATTGAGTGCCGAGCCGTACCGCTCGGACGGCACAAGTAATGTATTGCTACCCGATCTGGCCGTACGTGCCGTTGGCTTTTGTGCTTCCATTGGTTACTGAGATTTGCGTTATTAAAACAATTGATAATATATTAGATAATAATTATTGAAATTTTATTTTGGAGTTTTAAATTTAGCTTTACATTGAAATAAATGTCAATTCAATTGATTGATTGCATAAAATGATCAATATAAATCATTCAAATGTTTTATAAATACTATATTTTTGTAGTTGGAAACTGATTTATTATCATCATATTTATAATACATAGCTAACCAATCAATAATATAAAATAATTTAAAATGAATAAAATGTTGGTATTAGAGGGTTTAGAAATTAGAAGATTAAATACAAATTGATATATATTTACAAGAGAACTACATTTTTCTAATATTATAGATTTTTAATTGAGTTTATTTAATGATTATATGATTTTCGTGTCATTTTAATGATTGAATTCTTTGTGACATTTATTTAAGAATAGATTTTTATCACTGATTCTCTCTTTGCTTTATTAGTTTAATTACATAACAAATACACACTATTTGTGTGTCTAATGTCTGTTATATTATGATTATTACAACAGAAATGAATTATAAATATGATTGTACTAAATGTAATCACATTAGTTTTTATATGCCATTCATTTGTAGATAATTTAATATAAAAAATGAAAATAATGTTAAGTTTCACTTAATTATGTGACAATTATTGTTCATTTAAATAGTCATATTAAAATGTTACATAATTTATAGATATTGGACAGAATTATACACTTTACATAACTCAATATACATTGTATAAATAATATAAAAAACATAAATTTTATAGAAACGGAAACTTTTTTATCGTCTCTTGAGTTCAGTTTTTCTAAAACTATCTCTTTTTTACGTTAAATATATTATTTTCACTTAACGATAACATTATTTTAAGCTTTGATTTGCTCTCGATTGATATTAATTGTATTTCTATTTTGTATATAAAATGTTGAAATAAAATCATATGTAAATCTTTATAGATTTATGTATTTAATTATAGAATAATCAATGAAATGCCATTAGGCTTGAGATGAAAGCAATCAATTGCATGATATTTATAACACTATTGTAATGAGTATTATAATGAGGGAAATACAGCTCAGACTCACCTCTAAGCCGATGCACTCATTTTAGTGATCACTTCAATATTTACTTCAATTCTTTTCAGATATGTTTAACAATAATATCGAAAATATATTATTTTTATACAAATTATTGACACAATATTATGAAATACATTATTTTGTTGAATATTTGGTTCATTGAATTGAAGTCAATGTTTAATTCATTAATCTCTTATACTTTGACTGAAACTTATTATAAGAAGAATTTGGATTCAATTATATTGTGTGAAGTGTTGGACAGATAGTGTTGAGTGATATTTGCTGTCATATTGTCTGCAAATGATTGCAATACAGTGTAGAGCGAGTACTCTGTAGGTAGAGCTCAGATGCAGTCATTGGTGCCAATACTGCGGTCTAAAGGATCGCAGCATTCAAGACATTGATCGGCGAAGAAGAGCCTCATATAATTCTCTCTCTCTCTCTCTCCATAGAGTGTGACCATTGATTCCATGCGCACCCTCTTTCCAACCCTCATATTCTGTATTCTTGTATTGAAATAACAAATTATTTTATCGATTCTTTAATATTTACATATTATTGCGATTATTAATTATATTAAAACTATTAAAATTATTAATTATTTAAGACTGGATTGTCATTTTATATAAATTTATAGACAATGAAAATTATTACAATGTTTCATAAAGTTATATTTTAGGAATTTTATCACTTCTGATATAATTGTTTGCAAACAAAATCTTTTAATCAAATATTTTTACAGAAAAACACATTTACGCTTCAATTTGATCTCTGATTAAATACATTTCAATTAATATTTATTTGTTATCTCTAATTAATTTCGTTATAAAGATTGCAATAAATTATTTTGTGGTAAAGACTGAGTTATTATAGTTTTGCACAAAATTCGTGCTAAGCCTCGCAATCATTGAGTTACAGATTCTAATGACTTATTTAATGATAAATATAATGAGAGCTTTTTCTAAAATCCTTCTCATGAAAACACAGGCATTAAAGGCATTGAATTTTGTGACAAATCATCGAAACTATTCAAATTAATTTACTAATAAATTGTCACTTGTGCTAACCATTATTAATTAGCTCTCTTCTGAATCTATTAAATTTGGCTAACATTTAGATTTTGTGTATCAAATTACACTCAATATAGTATTTCTATCACGAATATTATTATTTTTATTTTACAAAATTTAACTAAATTATGGTTTTTTATATTTTGCAAAATATAATTCAGCGAATGTGCCAAACGTTGATCTCAATTGAAAGCATAACATAATATCTGATTGAATACCATTGATATGACAAACTAGAGCTCCTTCTCTACTCTGGTATTTATAGTCACTGAGTGTTTAGTTATTAAATATTAGATAAGTTTCTGAAAACTAGTTTTTATCGAACATTAAAGACAAGGATCCCTGAGTTGTGAGACATTTATTGAGTTATTGGTTATAAAGTGATTGAAGTGATTGCCGTCACAACTATTTATTTTTACAATTATTTACTTTTTGATGTCTTTTTAGTTGTAATCGTTTGAAGAAATAGTAAATTACATAAAGAATGAAAGACTTTAACGAACTATTGTCTCGAAATGGGAGAAAAGGCCACAAATGGATCTCTTATGGAACGGCAGGATTTCGTGATAAGTATGTATTGAATGGCCTTTTTTAGTGGCTTTCAATTTACTAATATTTGCCAACGAATCAAAACTAATGCCAAATGTTTCAGAGCTATTGAATTGCAACACATTATGTTCCGAATGGGAATATTGGCCACAATCAGGGCTAGAGTTGTCAAAGGTATTCAATACACATATTTATATACAAATTAAAACTATTATTATTACTTTACAATTACAATAATTCTCGTTATATAAAAATATAATGCATTATATTTCTAGAATATTAGCAGAAATTGTAAAAATTGCTCACATTTTTGATTATTAATGACATTTATTATTAAGAAATATAATCAATATTTGAAATTCTTGAGTCGAGAGCTTAAAAAATTAATGAATTCGGAATTATTTATCTTATTATACTGTTTATGATTTATGAATCATTAAACAGACAAATATGAGAAAATATGCGGTCATTTATTTCACATTTTAATATTCCCATTTAAAATGCTTTAATCATTTAACGATAACTGTAAAAAAAACTTTTAAAAACATAAATCTGATAATATTAAATATAATTATGAATATTTAATATTTATATTTTATAATTTACATTTTATATTTTATTATATTTTATAATTTTATTATATTTTATAATATCTGTATTGATATTAAACCACTCTATAATTGAAGCAACCATTGGAGTGATGATAACTGCATCCCATAATCCCGAAGAAGATAATGGCTTGAAATTAATTGATCCAAAAGGAGAGATGTTAGACCCAACCTGGGAATCCATTTGCACTCATTTAGCAAATATTAGGTATAATACAATTGTCCTCATTATGACTATTGAGAAATATTAAAATCATAAAATCACCAATCACATTCATATTTCAGTGATGAAGAACTTTTAAATGCAATTAATTCACTCATCAAAGAAAAAGGCGTTGATATGAAAGATGAGGCCAATGTATACGTGGGAAGGGATACGCGATCGAGTAGTGACAGGCTTTGCAAAGCCGTCATCGACGGTATAGTCGCGGGTGAGGGCAGTGCACATGATTTCGGGATAACAACGACACCACAAATCCATTATATGGTTCTTTGTGTCAATACTAATGGCGAATACGGAGAGCCCACTGAAAACGGTTATTATCGCAAACTGTCCGAAGCGTTCATCAAATTGAACGGACAAAACGGCGCTCAAGTCGTTAGCAATAATTACGTGCCTTCGGTTGTGGTCGACGGCGCCAATGGTGTCGGCGCTCCTAAGGCTAAACAATTGAAACAATTTCTGGGAAATTCATTAAATATGGAAGTGATTAATGACGGAAATGGAGTTCTCAATGAGAACTGTGGCGCAGACTTCGTGAAAGTGCAACAAAGAGCGCCCAAAGACTTGCACTTTGAGGTCGGCAAACGGTATCTGTCTTTCGACGGCGACGCCGACCGAATCATATACTTCTACAAGAACTCCGACGACGGGCTCTTCCATATGCTCGACGGCGACAAAATCGCTGTTTTAATTGCATCTCATTTGAAACAACTGTTAACTTCAGCTCAAATAGCGGACATTGACTTATGTATCGTTCAAACGGCTTATGCGAACGGAAGCTCTACTCATTATATCGAGAATACGCTGAAATTGCCCGTCCATTGTGTGCCCACAGGAGTGAAATACTTGCACCACAGGGCACAACAGGCGGACATCGGTGTGTACTTCGAGGCCAACGGTCACGGGACGGTCACTGTCTCCCACACCACTATCGATCGCATCAAACAAGTCTCAAACGACGTTACGCTCAAACTCTTAACGTTCATTGATTTGATAAATCAGGTCTTTAACGACATCCTTGAGTATCTATGAATCCATTTTAACTCATATTTTCATTGGATTAGACGGTCGGCGACGCCATCAGCGATATGTTGGTCATTGAAACCATTCTGAGAAGTAGAGGGCAGTCCATACAAGAATGGGATCAGTTATATACAGATTTACCGAATCGTAATATTAAAGTGTGTGTAAAAGACCGAAATGTGGTCACAACGGGAGACGCGGAGCGCAAGTGTTTGACACCAATTGGATTACAGGACAGAATCGATGCCATTGTCAACAAATTCGGAGTCCATTCGCGAGCATTCGTGCGGCCGTCGGGTACTGAAGATGCCGTCCGAGTGTACGCCGAGTCCACCACTCAGGAAAAGGCCGACTCTTTGGCCAAAGAAGTGGCAGAAGTTGTGTCCGAATTGGCAGAAAGCGTACCAAACAAATGACAAATGACTTAACAATTACCGTATTACCCCGCTTATAGGTGCATGCACTTATATGTGAGTTTTCACACAAGGGGCGCACCTATATCTGGATATAGGTGCGGTAGTTTTTGGGACATTTTTGACTTTCAATTGAAATTTACATATATCTTGAAATGAAAGTCGAATGACTTATTATTAAACTTTGAACTCTAAAATGTTACTTTAAATGTTTAAAATCTCAATGTATTTTCTTATCTATATATGAGCTTCATGACTAATGAGTACATTAGTGTAAAATCTCATATAATGAACATATCTTCAAGTGATGATTCATCACTAATGAATCAATTTAAATAATCAGTGAATAAATGGATATAAATGAAAAAATCAGTGATCAAAGTGTGACAAAACAAAGAAAAAAATTAAAATGAAGATTTACTTTCAATTATTAAATAACTAGCCACTAGCCATTAAGTCTGTTACCCATTTAATCATTCTATTCCCCTCTGTGTTTTCTCTATGCAATCACCCCATCCTCTCTATAGTTGTCACTACCCTCCCACCCCCTATTGTATGCTACTACCTATTGTAACGCTGTTTTCTAATGTAAATTTTATTTAAAATGTAAATATTAATGATGTATCATCTACCCATTAATTTATTAAATAATTCTGACAAATAAATTTTGGTGCACTTATATGTGATTTTTACACAAGGGGTGCACTTATATCCGGATATAGGTGCGGTAGTTTTC